CACAACACCCACACACGCTCACGCCCACAACACCCACACACTCCACCCTCACAACACCCATACACACCACGGCCACAACACCCACACACACTCACGCCCACAACACCCAAACACACTCACGCCCACAACACCCACACACGCTCACTCCCACAACACCCATACACACTCACGCCCACAACACCCACAACCGCTCACCTCACAACACCCACACACGCTCACTCCCACAACACCCACACACGCTCACTCCCACAACACCCACACACACTCACGCCCACAACACCCACACACGTCCACTCCCACAACACCCATACACACCTCACGCCCACAACACCCGCACACACGCTCACCCTACAACACCCACACGCTCACTCCCACAACACCCACACACACCTCACGCCCACAACATCCACACAAGCTCACGCCCACAACGACCACACGCCTCGCCATCACACCCACACACACACCACGCCCACAACACCCACACACGCTCACTCCCACAACACCCACACACCTTCACGCCCACAACACCCACACACGCTCACGTCCAAATGGTGCTGTGTCTGGCGGCAGCTGAACAGTAATGACTTAAGAGCAGTTCTCAGTAAAGGTCCATGCAGAGGCCGTCTTTACTGTGACCTTACCAACGACACCCAAACACGCCTGCACACCCAAACACGCCCGCACACCCAAACACGCCCGCACAAGTCTACACACAAGCCCGCACAAGTCACACACACGCCCGCACAGGTCTACACACGCCCGCACAGGTCTACACACGCCCGCACAGGTCTACACACGCCCGCACAGGTCCCACACGCCCGCACAGGTCTACACACACGCCCGCACAGGTCTACACACGCCCGCACAGGTTCACACGCCCGCACAGGTCTACACACGCCCGCACAGGTCTACACACGCCCGCACAGGTCTACACACGCCCGCACAGGTCTACACACGCCCGCACAGGTCTACACGCCCGCACAGGTCTACACACGCCCGCACATGCCCACACGCCCGCACAGGTCTACACACGCCCGCACAGGTCTACACACGCCCGCACAGGTCTACACACGCCCGCACAGGTCTACACACGCCCGCACAGGTCTACACACGCCCGCACAGGCTCCACACACGCCCGCACAGGTCTACACACGCCCGCACAGGTCTACACACGCCCGCACAGGTCTACACACGCCCGCACAGGTCTACACACGCCCGCACAGGTCTACACACGCCCGCACACTACACACGCCCGCACAGGTCTACACACGCCCGCACAGGTTCACACACGCCCGCACAGGTCTATACACGCCTGCACACGTCCCACGCACGTCCACACACATCTTACCAGCTGTGTTCACGCGTCTCTGTTACATGTAATAACTTTGGTGGGTATTGTTGACTTACCTGTGGGAGTGATGGAGAGGAGGATGGGGAGAGGTAGTGGGAGATAGGAAGGGTTGGAGAGAGGAAGGAAGGTGAGATAAAGAGAGGGGTAGGAGAATAGAGGTGAGGGAGACGGGACCCACCTTAGTGAGGGAGACGGGACCCACTTAGTGAGGGAGACGGACCCCTTAGTGAGGGAGACGGGACCCACCCAAGTGAGGGAGCGCCCAATTGAGAGAGGGGGTGGCACTGATGGACTATGTGAAGGATAGTGCCAAGTGAGGTGAGGAATACCTACGTGAGGGGTAGAGAGAGTAATATGATGGCACTGACTGGCACTATGTAAATGTGGAGGAAGAAGTCCATCAAGTGCCAACATGAGGTGATCTTGGCACTGTTTGACATCTCCCTCACTCTCTTTCTCAGTGTAAGGTCAAGGATGGTCAGAACAGGTAATGAGGTCAGCTTAGGTCAGAGGAAACTAGGTCACACCGGCACTATTCCTGGCATCATGTCCTCAGGTGCCAGCTGGTGTGAGGTATTATTATTATTATTATATATATTATTATTATTATTATTATTATTTTATTTTATTATTATAGTTGTTGTTGTTGTTCCTATTGTTGTTATATATTATTACATACTATTATAACTTGAAGGCGTGGAGAGAAGGAAGGAATAAGGATGGAAAGTAGGAAGGAAGGAAGAGGGAGGGAAGGGTTCAGTAACAGGGTAAAACAAGTAGTGATCACGGCATACAGTAATTACCATTAATGAAGTAATTATGTGGTTCATCTGTTGCTGTAATTAATGACTTGAGTTGTATTTGTCTGTTTGTTTGGTTATATTCTTAAATTGTGTTCATTCTTTTCTTTCTCTATTGTTTGTCTTATTATTTTCTTCCATTTTCCACCCATCCACCCTCTGTAGGTGGACCTGGGCAGGATATTTGACACCTCCACCTTACACCCAGATGAAGTGTGTAGAAGTGTCGGGGGAGAGAGAGAGAGAGGGGGGGGGGGGGAGAGAGAGAGAGATTACCCTCACTCACTCATTCTCATTAAAATCAGAACCCACAAACAGATAGACTGGTAGAGGATGGAGATGGGAGAAGGAATAAGAGTAAGGAAGGGTGGAAAGAGGTAGGAGGGTGAGAGAGGAAGGGTATAAGAGAGATAGCTGGGAGGGGTGGGAGAGGAGGGATACGACCTTCATGCAATTCCCGCCATAACATCAAATTGGCTAACTCTGGATTGTAAAGGAGGTGAAGAACACTCTAATCCGACCTAATCTTCTCTCACTTTAAGAGTCTTGGGTGTGGTGGTGGTGGGGGTGAGGGAGGGTTGGGATCTGACACTTATTGCTGGTTGTGTTAAGGGCGAGGGTTGTGTGTGTGTGTGTCTGTGGGTCGCCTTTGTTGACATCAGGTTTATCATGCGGTAGTGTTCGTGGGGAAGAATCCGGATTTTTAATACACTAGGTTGCATTCCTTAAAATTACGACCGTCGAGTTTTGTTCCCGTGATTACGGTATGTAGTTAAAATTAAGGTAAGTTATAAAGATGGCGTCCAAACTGCACCGAGACTCAAGATGTTTTCTGCTATCCTTCAGAGGCGGAGTTCACCAACGTCGTATATATGTGTGAGGGGGGAGGGGTGTATAGAAGGTGTGGGCATCTCGGTGCTACTATAGCGTATGTAGGTTAGGGTAGGTGAGACTAAAGATATCTGTAGACCGCATCATAGCACCGGCCCCTCTCTCTCTCTCTCTCTCTCTCTCTCTCACATGGCGACGGGCTGGGGCGGAGAGGGCTGCCGGGCGGGAGAGGGCTGGGCCCGGGCGGGAGAGGGCTGGGGCCGGGCGGGAGAGGGCTAGGCCGGGCGGGGAGGGCTTGAGGGCTGGGAGGTTACCAGGTGTCCCAGACCCCAGGGCAGTGCACGACGACCCTGGTGGACCCTAGTGTATATTTAGTGCAGTAAACCCCCATCTCTAACCGCTATTTTGCAACTATATGCCAGACGCTCCTCAGCTTGACACCTTTCTCCCGCTCACCTACCAGCCTTCTCTCCCATTGACTTAGTGGAATAATTTAATGTAGCATGGCGTTTGAACAACTGAAGCTAAAGCGCTCCACCACCCCCATTAACTTACTATTATAACCCTACAAGGAGTTCCCTCGAACTAGCTAAACCCCTCTGCTCCATCTTCAATACTTCCCTCAGCCAAGCAAGATGCTCAGCTGACTGGAAGACCTCATATGTGTCACCAGTGGCCAAGTCACCAGCCTGCAATCCTTAAATGAGCTGCGACCCATTGCCATCACCCCAACCCAGCTTAACCTGTGAAATTTTCGTGTTTGATTGGGCTTATGCTGATATTGCAGGCGCCATAGATCCTCAGCAATTTGGCAATATGAAAACTTCCTCCACCACTCACTGTCTTGTCAGCTTTCTCGACTACCTATACCGCCATCTGGAAAACGAAAAATATCTGTGGCTGTCGCCTTTATTGGCTTCACCATAGGCATTCTCTACCTAGTCTACCATTTAATTTATATCTTCAACAAAACTTTCGACCTCAGGTTTCGGCGAAGTCTTATGTAGACTTCCTCAGTGACCGACGCAAAGCCGTACGCTCTCGAGGGCGTCACCATGTCATCAACCATACCAAGACCATGGTTATGCACATCAACCTCTCCTCTCATCATGTCCCACTCCCACCATAACTTTGCCCCAACACACTTCTGGTTGTGGACTCCACCAAGCTCCTCTGGTGTCACTATAGATATAAAACAAATTGGGAAATAAACACGTCAGTGAAGTTGTCAAATCTTGTTTCATCTCCACCTCCGCCGACTCAAGTCCTGCTCCCGAGCTCCTCAGTGCTAACTCAACATTTGCTTCCCAAAATGCCACACAACGGAAAACACCTACAAAATGTGCAGAAGAGGGCTTGCAAGATTATCCTCCCCATACTACTACTACATATATCAAGAAGCACTCAACACACTGATCATCACCATGACCTAATTTGCAAATTTTGGGAGAAACTTCTTCACCATCCTTGAAACACTCCTACTACCACCCAAGATCCCTCTTCCGCATCCAGCCCATCCGATCACGTACTAATCGCTATAAGAACAGCCCAGTCCCAACCATTGTAAAATTATCAAAACTTGTAATCAACCAGTGTATTCACCCCAACCAATCTTACCTTCTTGCACTGTCACTATGTTGAACTGTCCTGTAGTACAACCTTCTCCCCACATTATATTATATATCATATTTGTATCACTTATGTTACTTGTATATTATTTGTCAGTCAAGTGACCCATTCACCAATTAAACTATATTTTCAGCCTTCTGGCTGCTACGCTTTTCAATAAACCGTTTATTATCATTATTATTATTATATATATATATATTATTATTATTATTACATCGTACACAAAGGGGTTAAGTCATTGTACGCAATAAATATGTATTTTCCAGTTTTAGATTAAGTTAGGTTAAATAGGTTAGGTTCTTTTACATTCAAGATGGAATAGTAAAAATAAATTATATTATTTTACCGGTTATTTATCTATTACTTATTTATATATTTCTCTTCCCCAGGTGGTGACGTGTGTGCCGCGCGCGCGTAGTCTATGTCGTGTTGAAACGTGTGTGTGTGTGTGACGCCCCTAACACCCTGGGATAAAGTCACCCTGGGATAGTAGCGACCCAAGGTAGCCCCCAGCCTGGGATAGACCCACAGTGGGGCTAAGTGCTGGGGGCTAGTGCTGTGTCCGTGGAGCAGGGAGGGGTCTACCTCCCACCACCACCACCACCACCTACCATGGCGTTCGCTGGCCTCAAGAAGCAGCCAATCAGGTGAGTTAGTTGTTGTGTTGTTATTACTGATTGTGGGTCCTGGCTTCTTTTCTTTCTTTCTTTTCTTTCTTTTTCTTTCTTCAGTTAGAGACCATATACAAAATATACGTATATAGCATATATACATACAGAGAAAATATTTACTTAGCATATGAATACTGCGTGCAAACCAGATACATACACATACTGTACATATATTATCTATATATTATATATATGTTACGGGTTTTTTCCTGAATTGGAATTTTGCAAAATAACTTACAAACAGACAACCTAACCTAACCTTATGGCTAGGACAGCACATACTGTAGGCCAAGGTTAAAAACATAACGGATCACTTAATTGTATCGTTACAATGATAACATCCTAACCTGATCTCATTCAACCATAAGGTTAGGTTAGTTTAGGTTATCCGTTTAAGTTATTTTGCAAATTACCAATATGCATGCTGGTCATTTTCAAAATAACCGATTTCGCACAAAACGTAACATATATACAATTAGCATATGCATAGTACAGTATTATACATATAAATGGCATATATACATGTATGCTGTATACAGTATACCTAGCGTGTATGGAGGTTATCCTACAACTGCCGAGGTGTTCCTTACATGCCACCTAAAGATTTCAGTTAACAAGAGGTTCAAGATAATTGGCCGCAGAAACCTCTGCCTTCCTGGAGCCTCAAAACCTTTCTTGACGCCCCAAAACCCTCCTGGAAGCCCCCAAAGCCCTCCTGGAAAGACCCCAAAACCTCCTGAAGCCCCCTAAGCCTCCTGGAAGCCGCAAAACCTCCTGGAAGCCCCAAAGCCCTTCTAAGCCCCCAAGATTAGATTTCAAGTCCTCCTGAAACCTCCAAGTCCCTCCTGAAGCCTCAAGTCCTCCCAGCCTCCAAGTCCCTCCCGGAAGCCCCTGGAGAGAGCATAGATGAGTGGAACGGTAAATTAATATCACAGTCATGAGTGAGTTTTTCCAGAGCTTCACACCTTGTTGACGCTACCTAGGTGACGGGGTGGGTGGTTGTTAGGTAGTGATGAGGGGCGTGATAGTGGTGGTAGTTAGAGAGTGGTAGTGGTGATTGTTAGAGTGGTAGTGGTGATTGTTGAGTGGTAGTGGTGATTGTTACAGAGGTGTGGTGGTGATTGTTAGAGTGGTAGTGGTGATTGTTAGAGTGGTAGTGGTGATTGTTGAGTGGTAGTGGTGATTGTTAGAGTGGTAGTGGTGATTGTTGAGTGGTAGTGGTGATTGTTGAGTGGTAGTGGTGATTGTTGAGTGGTAGTGGTGGTAGTTAGAGAGTGGTAGTGGTGATTGTTAGAGTGTATGGGATTGTTGAATGGTAGTGGGTGATTTTAGAGTGGTGTAGTGGTGATTGTTACAGAGTGTAGTGGTGGCAGTTATAGAGTGTTAGTGTTGGTTATTAGGACGTGTTAGTGGTACTAATTAAAGAGTGGTGGGAGTTAGAGGATGGGGGTGATGGTTTGCAATTAGGAAGGTGATGGTGGTAGTTAGGCAGGTGATGGTGGTAGTTAGGAAGGTGATGGTGGTAGTTAGGAAGGTGATGGTGGTAGTTAGGAACGTGATGGTGGTAGTAGGAAGGTGATGGTGGTAAAGAAACATGCGGTGAAGTTAGCAGGTGATGGTAGTAGTAGGCAGGTGATGGTGGTAGTTAGGCAGATGGTGGTAGTAGGGAAGGTGATGGTGGTAGTTAGGCAGGTGATGGTGGTAGTTAGGAAGGTGATGGTGGTAGTGTCGTGATGGTGGTAGATGGAATGATGGAGCAAATAGTGAAGATGAAGGAAGAATGATGGAAAGTGCCAATAAACTGAACACGAAGAAAGAAGGAAAACAACATAACAAAGGAAAGCATAAAGAAAGCAATATGAATGCCATTAAATTAGTATGTTGGCCACCATTGTGCAGAATGACGTGATCTACAACTTGGGGAGAAAGTGTTTGGCAGTGATATAAGGACAACATTACCCAGAGAAAGTCATAATAGCTTTCTTTAAAGAGAGTTATAATGTGGGAACCTGCACTGTCGGAGATGTTGTTGATGATACAGTAACTTACTAATAAAGGAAATTTATCTATTGGTTCTTAATTATGTAGCTCTGTTTACACCCAACCATTATTACCTTATCTGTCCAAGAAGGAATTGTTGACTTCTTGGGGGATACTGGGGGTGAGGACGGAAAGTGTATATCGGATGGAAGAGATTATAATGCAGGGTAACGCTTGACAATACCCACTTTGGTTGGATTTGATCGCCAATTAATCCCTTCAGACCTGTCCTCACTCCCCAGTAGCCTCACAGCAAGACACCTACCCCAACACACGCCTCCCCTCTCCCTTCTCTACTCACTAGCTTAAATACTTCGAATTCATACTTCAGAGTTTTGGGTTCATAACTCAGGGAGAGAGAGGATTGGCAACTCTAAGTGGAGCCAACTGTACATCCCAGCACACAAAAATCTCTTCAACTCTTGGATCCGCAAAATCCCAAATGCGTGGCCCTGTTGCAGTCCCACTGACTGTTACCGGTAGCCAGTTTCAACAACATTAGAAAGAAGGATGATGGGTGTATGAAGACACCACAGTGGCTTATAACGACTGTCCACTGCCCCATCTCACCTCACTGATATTGACATGTCAGTCATTGAAGGGTTTATGGTGTTACTGTGCGACGAAGCAGTAAACGACGAACAGTGCCAGAGTGAGTCCTTCAGAAAGACACGACGCCAGATTAAAAAAACATTCCGCTTACCAATGCAGCTCCCAAAAGCAGCATGCTTAGGGACAGTCCTTATCTGCACCTGTGCTCTCAAACCCCTGTGAATGAGACGGGAGCGTGTCAGTGGATAGTGGCCGCCCTGGACACCGCCTCAACGTCCGAGGCCCGCCTAGAACTGACTGCAAGTGTAAGTGTGTGTGCAGTCAGGACTTAACGTGCACTCCATTGTGTGTCAGTAATGGTGACGTGGTGAAGGGAGGATGCAGCTGGAACTGTTACTGACCTGAGGATGATTGTGGTATGCCGCCCTTCCGTGTTATAAGTAAGGAGTATTTTCGTTTTTATTACTTTCTACCCGGCTGCTTCCCTTGTTTTACTATGTTTGACCTGGGTGGGTTGGGGAGGGAGGAGTGGGAGGATGGTAGATGAGGGAGTGGGGAGGGAGAGGTCTTACAAGGTCACACTGTCTTGGACATACTTAAAGGAGGAGCTTGGAGTGTTAGGTCTCGTCCTTGATGTTTTATTAAGGTGATTATCTTTACTGTCCTCCTCTCTTCTCCTCCTGTCTCCCCCTTCTCTCATCCTCTCCCTCCCTCCTCTCTCTTCCCCTACTCCTTTCCTCCTCATTCTTCCTCTCCCTCCCTCTTCTCTCTCTTCACATTCTCTTCCTCTCAACCTCCATCCATCCACCCCTCTCTCCTCCCTCTTCTCCTTCCCCTTCCTCCCTCCACCCTCATTCTCTTCTCCTCCTCCCATCTCTTCACTCCCCTACCCTCCCTTCCTCCTCCCTCCCCCACAGTGCTTAAATGCTGCCTTATAACCAGATATTCTCCCTCACTATCGATAGTCAATAGTGAGTGGCGGGCTATTACTGAAGGTGTAGCTGTGTTCCACGGCGGCTATGACATTCCCAAGTAGATGGTGTGTTGTGTTGTGTGTGTGTGTGTGTGTGTGTGTGTGTGTGTGTGTGTGTGTGTGTGTGTGTGTGTGTGTGTGTGTGTGTGTGTGTGTGTGTGTGTGTGTGTGTGTGTGTGTGTGTGTGTGTGTGTGTGTGTGTGTGTGTGTGTGTGTGTGTGTGTGTGTGTGTGTGTGTGTGTGTGTGTGTGTGTGTGTATAACGCGACACCCGGAAGCTAATTGTATCTAACAGGAAGTGACGGGCATAATCTCGTTTTAACAAAGTCTCCTCCTCTCTCTCTCTTCTCTTTGTTTTCTCAAATTTCAATTATTATGGTATAAGTTATATTGTCATAATATATCAATATTTATCATATATCATCGTCATCCTTCCTAACCTTCTCATTTAAGTATTTAACGCTATTTGTGGGGGAACTGTCAGCTGCCACAAGCACAGTAAACTGATAGCAATGTCAGGGGAGGCGAGCTGGCCGGATACATGGATGGGTGGCTGGCTGGCCATAGATGAGTGACTGGTTCGTTCCCTGACTGGCCGGATAGATGGATGCCTAACTATTGGCTGGATACGTGGGTGGCCGGCTGGGTGGTTAGGTTACACAGATTCCTACAACAATAACTCCATTGAGAATTTTGTTTACGTGAAAGTGGGGGAAAATATGTATATCTTTTGGTGTTTTCGTGATAAAACTTGGGGTGAGGAGGAAATAGAGGGGGGGAGGAGGTAGTAGAGGGGGGTGAGGAGGTAGTAGAGGGGGGTGAGGAGGTAGTAGAGGGGTGAGGAGGTAGTAGAGGGGGGTGAGGAGGTAGTAGAGGGGTGAGGAGGTAGTAGAGGGGGGTGAGGAGGTAGTAGAGGGGGTGAGGAGGTAGTAGAGGGGGGGAGGAGGTAGTAGAGGGGTGAGGAGGTAGAGGGGGGTGAGGAGGGGTGTAGAGGGGGTGAGGGAGGTAGTAGAGGGGGTGAGGAGGAGGGTAGAGGGGGGGTGAGGGAGTAGGGTGAGGAGGTAGTAGAGGGATGAGGGAGGTAGTAGAGGGGGTGAGGGAGGTAGTAGAGGGGGGGGTGAGGGAGGTAGTGGAGGGGGGTGAGGAGGTAGTAGAGGGGGGTGAGGGAGGTAGTGGAGGGGGGTGAGGAGGTAGTAGAGGGGGGGGGTGAGGGGAGAGGTAGTAGAGGGGGGGTAAGGAGGTAGTAGAGGGGGGTGAGGGAG